CAACCATTCTTCTTATAGAAAGATTCCAATTCCATTCTAAACCCACCAATGGACAAACTTTACGAGGATGAAGTTAGTGGTTTAGTATGATGGAGGTGGTGGTTTAATGTGTTTTTTATGGAAGGTTTTGGCCAAGTCTATGTGTTGGTTCAGGGATCCAATGTAAAAACCACTTTGTTGATTTTTTTCAATTAAACTACTGTGGCAATTCTTTTTTCTTTTTCTTTTTCTTTTTCATCTTTTGGAGCACATTTTTTTTTTTTTTTTTTTTTTTTCCAGAAAAGAACCACCCAGAGGTAGCTGAAAAACCTTAAGTTGATGGTTAAAGGTATTCCGACGTTAGTTTTGCAATTTTGAGTTCCACCTCCACTAACATACACCACCCACACCATCCAGATCTTTGTTTTCAAGCTTGTTGTCACCCTTGTTTTCTACACCAACAAGACTTAACGTCTTGGTCATCCTCATCTTTGTAGGAATGTAGGCTTGGCACACAGTTGCTTGATTGTAATTGGGAGGCACCAAATGGCATTCACCATGTTGACAAAAAAAACAAAAAAAAAACAAAAACAAAAAACTGCATAAGCCATTTGAGGCTCCTTGGATTTGCCTGCTTGTACAGTGGGGTACAGAAATAATTCGAATTTTTTTCTAGAGCACCACTTTTGCTAAAAAAATCTTGTTGTTCAATTGAATGTTGTGATCATGTTGGAAGGAATTTTTCCCCGACACTTGGCCATCTATTTTTGGAGTGCAAGAGGTGTCTAATTGCATGTAATTAGCCATGTGTCTTCAAAAGCAGTTTGCAAATGTGATGATTAATGTGGAAGTGGTTAGGTGAGCTAAAAAATCAGAGTTGCAATTAGGCATGTATGCAGCCAGCAAAATGGAGTGATAGCATAGAATGCTTGGATGGGGTGACTTATATAATCCATCTGAAGATGTAAAGCACATTGCACTGCCATAGATTGAGATTGTGAAGCACATACAGATTTTAGAAGTGTTTTTTTTTGGTTTTGGACATCGTTAGCTTCAGTGACTCCTCTCCGTCAAACTAGAAGTTGGTTTGTGCTATTTGAAGGCTTACAGCAAGCACCATGAAGTACAGAACATTGTCCCCTATGCAGAAGAATCAGATTGTGGGGATGAGGAAGGCTGGGATGAAGTGTAAGGACATTGCAGAAGTCTTCAGTGCTCCCTGTTCCACCATTTCAACTATCTTGAGTCATTGGAAGGTCCATGGAAGTGTGGAGTCGTTGAAATCACAATGTGGCAGACCCAGGAAGTTGTCTGAGCGGGATTTTCGGGTATTATGTCATGCTGTCAGTTCAAATAGAAGGCATACTCTGGTAGAACTTGCAAACTTGGTGAGTGTTTCCCGAACTACTGTTCGATTCTACCTCCGTGAGCTTGGTTTTAGAAATTGTATAGCACCTAAAAAGCCCTATTTGAATGTCAAACATAAAGCAGATAGGCTTGCATTTGCACGTGCTTATGAGAGTTGGACGTTTGAAGATTGGTGTAATATTATTTGGACGGATGAGTCGTCATTCGAAACTGGCAAAAATCCACGGCAAATTAGAGTGTGGCGGAAGGCATACAAAAAATATAATTGGGATTGTATAGCACCAAGTTTTAAGTCTGGACGTAGTTCAGTGATGGTTTGGGGTGCCTTTACTGGCTTTGATAAGTCTCCATTGGTCATCATTCCTTTAGATAAGAGATCAGCAAGGGATTTTGTCACTATTGTTTATGAAGGAGTATTAAGTGGCTTTTATTTCTTACATGATGACCCTGAGCAATTGATATTGATGGAGGATGGCGCTCCAGTCCACCGTAGCTCATTGCCACTGCAATGGAGACGTGCTCATGGTATAGAAAAGTTGTTTTGGCCTGCCAATTCACCGGACTTGAATCCAATAGAGAACGTTTGGATGGTTGTAAAAGATTTGCTCAAACATCATAGTAGACCTAATAGTAAGCTAGAAATGATAGAAAAAATTCAATCCGTATGGGATACCATATCTATAGAGTGGCTTCGTACATTGATTTCCACTATGCCTTATAGGATGCAAGCGGTGATTGCAGCTGGGGGTGGTAGTATGAGATGGTAGATAGTATGTAACAAAAAGCTCTCTTGATGTATATTTTCACAACTTTATAATGCAAACTTGTTACACCATGAAACTAGATTCTACTATCTTCGCAATGCATTTTACAGCTCAAAAATGCGTTCATTTTTGACACGGCTGGAGCTTTTTGAAGTTCAGTGATTTCTAACACTGATTCACTTTGAAAAAAAATTCGAATTATTTCTGTACCCCACTGTACAGAACATTCAGCAAGTAGCTCTAACCACTTTGCCTGCAACAGTAAAACCTGAATTAGCCACCCATTTGGAAAAGGGTCTTGAAAATCAGAGGGGCCTCAATTTGAATCAATTGCAAGATGTGGGCATGTCTTGCAATTAGCTCACAAAATACCATCAATTGAATTGCTACGAAGACACAATTGCATGGTAATCTGCTGCTCTCTTGGCAGTACCACAAAAACTTCTGACATGTGAAGTAGCTACTGCTCAAGTTTTTACATTTGTAATCGACATATGCAATGATGAATTTTTACATTTGATGATGCAAATTACTGAGCATACTTGGCATTGTTGTAGGCAAACAACTGGTGTAGAATGTAGATACAGTTCTCGGGATTTAAGGAAGCGTTTTAGTGCAATTAGGTCTGACAGAGTGAGCACATTTGAAGAAATATAGCTTCCTCAACGATCATTCAGCTTATATTGATCTTGATGAGCTGGTTTAGTAAGGTAACTTCCAAAAGCTAATGATCATCAACAGCTTCAAAATATCACCATGTTTGGATACCAATTTTTTTTGCAATTTAGCAACTAATTCGACATTCAGAAACTTTCCTGGGAGGAACCAAGGGAATTCTACTAGGTTCAAAGTCCATTCGCTAGGTGTGTAATGAGGAAATTACAGAGCATTTCAATGTTTGTCGGTCCACAACCAGCTTCTGGAGAAGTGATGTTACAACGAGTTTGTCCAGGTTTGCTCATCTCATGCTGGAATTTAGGTTTTCAAAGCTTATTCAGGCAGAAATACACAAGCAAAGAAAAGTAATTCAGAAGCAAACCTGAGTTGGGGCATGATTTGAGGACGTTACTGTGATCCATGCATATTTGAAAAGGTTCTCCAACAGTCATTTCAGAGACACAGGAGGAACTCTGTCAGTGACCTGTGATGAACAACCCATGCAGGTAAATCTTCAAGAACAGTGTAGCCTCACCGAACGTTATTCAACAGTAGCATTACATCGTTGATCGTTTTTAACACGTAGTATCCAGTTGTGAGAAAGAGAGGTTAAGGAATAGAAGTCGATGGATTTCGGAATAACTTGTAGACAGTATCATCAAGCAGAGAAAATTTCAGGAGACTCTGGAAAGAGATAGCAGCTGTAACAAGGAAACCCTAAACTGCCCGACCACTCACCCTTGAAGAGCCATATTTGGTTGGTTGGCTGAATCCTACATATGAGAAAAACTTGTGCCTGGAGTTGATTGCTCAAATGTCCCGAGCTATTCGCGCAATCGTTCCAGGTATTTTGACCCAGCAACTTGTATGGTGTCCAATTGGATGACTCCCGTTTTCACTAATTGTTAGAATGCATCCAATGAATATGTACCTCTTGATAATCACCTCAGTCATACTACAACTCCTCCGTATCCTCGGATCCGCTACTTGAAGAAATGACCAAGGCATGCATGTAAGCAACTCTATGGCCTTTCGACATGTGAAAATCTGCCTTTCATAAAGGATTAAAGAAGTCAAAAAAAGATTGTCGAGCATTGGCTTCGTGGTCAAGTGCGGCTATAATAGATTCTACTGCAGACAGACGATGAAGCTGTTTACAGAATTTTCAACACTTGGTGAAAGGTACCCAATGATGAAAGAAGGTCTAGTGGGTCAAAAAGTGCAGCAAGTTTTGATTAACTATGTGTATATTTGTATGTATATGTAGAGAGGGAGAGAGTGGAGAAAATCTCAATCATTGCCAGTCCACAGCACTCCTTAGAATCAAGTACAAGCTATGATTCGAAAGTTTCACTCAGAGTCGAATACTCATGGACCTTGACCTACCTCTGATAACCCTACCCATCTTTAGATATCTCTGTGGCTTCATATTGCATCTCAGTTGCACGCAGTGCTGAAATATGACCTCTACTGGACCACATGTTCAGGAATGGTTAGAGCTACGCCCTCGAGAACTTCGAGTTCGGCACTCTGAGATCCAGATTTACTCAAGATCTATAACTTGCTGACACTCAGTCCAGCATGATAAAATTACAAAGCTGTTCCAAAACGACAGTTACTTGTCGGACACGGAATATCATTTACAAATGGCTGTGAGGATTTCGGGAAAAGTATTGATCGTCTGTTATAATCCTACAAAACATCATGCGCTGATCCATACCGAGCCAGGTTCCTTGATCAAGAGTTGAAAACAGATGGGATAAGTTCAACCTTGACAATAATGTTAAGCAAGAGATGCAGTTGATCTGGAACAATCGAAGACTATGCGGAATGACGAACGACTACGAGGGACTTTTGCAATCGCATGAGCTAAACCCATTTGCATGAGAACGTGGAATATGGTCGCAAATCATGTTCGAACGATGGAACTTTGAACCGTTCACAACAGCACAGAATGAACTTTGCAAAGCTGCTGCAAAAATGAATAGCTGACCAGACGAGCTTCAGAACCTATGATAAGAAGAAGCATGTGGAGAAAGGAGAAGGTAAAAAAGATCACAACTAATCACTGGCGAAGGCAAGTTGCATTTTTGGGACAAAAAACAAACAGAAAAGTAGTTAAGACGGTCCGCCATAGCCAGCAATTCAATGCCATGCACAGTAATCTCAAGTTTGACCTTCACAGGAATGGCAATGACTTCACAAGACTATCCATAAGGGCAATACACAATATCAGAAGGAAGTAAGACTTGGGAGGCCCTGTATTTAGTGCACAAATGTATCACAATTATTAGTTACACAACTTTCCCCATAGGAAGATCCAAAATTGGCGTTGGTCATAAACATCGTCCCAACTACAATGCTTTGTCTATTTAGCCCATCGATAATTACACCCAAGACACTCTCTTATGTACAGAGTAATCATCTGCAACCAAAAACCTCACACTCCCATCAAATTCTCAACGTGCTAACAGAGAAACTGATGCTGAACTCTCGTCATGAAGCTCATGATCGATCTTAATTACTGTCCTCCCCCAGTTTTTGAGAAATCTCCATCAACTGGGTAGCCATTTCTTTCATGAAGGAAATCAAACTTGTGGACACTAACTCACTTCGCTAACAGGTGGACTTCTCGTACGCTTCCCGAAATTTAGCAATGCCTGCTTCGGATTCTTACGACACGGGCATACAGGTCATGGTAGAAGGATCCCACAGGGCCGGCAACAAATATTTTCTCGTTCCCGTTCCTTGTGCGTTGTAGCTGGCGCTGGTGATGGGATCCACAATCAGCTGGCCTGGGTTACCAGGAAAGGCTCCAGCGCCATAAATGCCGGTGCAAGCAGTGCCAGCTTCCAAGGGAGCAGAAGCATCACCTTGGTAGTATCCATTGTTGAAAGGATTTGTCACCGTGCCGGCGAGCATGGTTGCCATGTTTATCACCATCCCGTCCATTCCAGCGTCGGCGTTAGGGGCGACCAGAGCCTTAGCGCCCTGAGGACTATACTGGGGAAGAGCATAAGGCCATGCACACTGCCCTGGGCACTGTGTCCCTGAATTCCCAACCCAAGAGTAAGGGAGCATGAAATTCTTGGAAGCAGGAGATGCAGATAAGAAGGAGTGAAAAGCGCAGGTATTCATGCAGAAGCCTTCGACTTGGACATCCGATGCGGTGAGGACATAATATATGGAGGAAGGATCTGAAGGGAGGGAAACCAAGGACTTGGTCACAATAATTTCAATGTCAGACTGTTTGAGGACTTTGCCCATGCTGTAGTTATCATCGGCTTGCCCCGCCAGCTTCACCACTCCCGCTGGGATATTGTTCTTGTTGTCCTTGTACGCAGAGGTCAATTTCCACCAGCTCGCAACGGAAGGGTGCACATCAGCACCAGGCTCCTGGAAAGAGGCTAAGAAGTCGGTTATAATCGACTTGTCCGAGGGGTTGAAGGTGCCATACCAGACGATGTAGACATTGAGAGCACCAGTACCGGCCAGCAAAGGGCCATTATGGTAGGGAAGAACTGGAGAATTGTTAACTAGCTTGAAGAGCTTCCTTCCTGTGCTCACAGCTTGATCAACCTCAGCATCATCGACCCCCACAACTTCAGACTCGGTAATGGGGAAGAGAGGTGATGGGCGACAGTCCACCACCATAGCCGCCGCAAGCAGCGCACATAGGAGAAAGAAAACCCTCATGACTTTAGCCATGGTTGACAGATAGACTATTTTCAGAGGGCAGAGGCCGAAAAAAGTTCAAAAGATTAAGAAATCGAAGACTACGATGGAACAAGCAATGACACAACTGCAAATGCTGCAGTTTCGAGAGAACTTGTAGAGATAAAGAATTAATCCAAGAATTAAGGTAGCGGTGGAAACCTACAGCAATGAAGACGTGCAGCAAAACCTAGACACAAAATATACGAGGACGCTGATACAACCTCTTCATAAACCTCAAAACTCTGTTATTTCAGTCCAATTGCTTCACCAGCCTAATGATACGCATTACTCGGTCAATGTATCGACACAACGAAGTAAATTACACATACTTCTGATGCAGAGGAAACGCAAGCACCTATTCCAGACGGTATTCCTAAAAAGCGACACTCAATCGCCGTAGATTTTTCCCACCGAACTGCCGAGGCTCTTCGCCTTATAAGCTACAAGCTGACAACGACTGGCCACTTGCAGCGGCAGAGATCAGCACCTACCCTCTGGACTATCCTGCTACAAAACCCAATACAGACACACGGACTCTCGTAGTACCCACCTCTCAAGTAACTCTTCTTAAGAGATCACTGGTTGCAAGCAATATCCAGCTGGAAGCTGTCCTTCCCCCTCTGCCTTCCACAAGACAATTCAACGTGTGATGTGAATTACTGCTTGACCCTTAGATTCAAAAACAACCGTTGCAACTCAAGTCCCCTACTCAAGCAACTCTCTCTTTTTGTCTGCCTTCCTTTTTAAAATCCCAGAAAAGAAGAAGAAGAAGAAGAAGAAGAATTAGAGGGAGAAAACTGCTAAGAATAATAATAATAATAACAATAATAACACTAATATTTACAAAATAAGATAAAAAAGGACTTAAAATTTTCCTGCAGCTTGGGTCTGTGCAGCCACCCACACAGTTCACAAACAGCACCTGCACACTTCAAGTTTGAGCTTGAGATCTGAACGCATCGCAAGAGCGAGAGGCAGCGGGAAGATGATGAGGTTGCTGTGATGAATGGCAAGGGGGAGGGCGATGGATTATATAGTGGTGTCTTGGCTGGGCAGGGCAGGGGCAGGGCTGTGCATTGGCGTTGGCTGGGATGCCAGCTGCAGCATAGATGCAGAGGGAAAGATTGCGAGCTTGTGTGGATGCGGGCCAGATAATTCCAAGAAGAAATATGGTGTCAGCTGGAGCCAGAGAGGCAAATCGATCTCATGGAAACTGCAACAGCCAGCCAGCCAGCTTGCGAGCGAGCGATCTGATCTCTTTGTCTGGTTGGTTATTGATCGTTGTTACGTTGTTACCATCAGCAGTTTCGGTTCCTCGGTCTCCAGCTGGCCAGTCTTCGCTTTTGTAACGGCGTTGTGGCTGCGCTTCACTTCTCCTCCTCCATCACCGTCTCATCTCTTCTCTTCCCTTTTCTACTTCCCTTCTTTTTGCCCCTATTTCCCCGGTTCCCCTTTTTGCCCTCTTCTCCTTCTTCTTCTTCTTCTTCCGCTACTGCTACCACCACCGCCGCCCTCCTAACTCGCCCCATGAAGTTCCTTGAGCTACAGTGAAAGCTACCATGGATTCTGACTCTTCTGAGCCAAGGGAAACCGCAACAGCCACCGAACCAAATACGACGAGGAAGACAAGGATGAAGACGATGAGAAGAGGACGTAGACGACGACGATGTATGCGACGAAGAAGAAGAAGAATGGGCTCGGGGAACATCCCTGAATGTACGATATTATTGTATCAAATTTAGTGTTGTTTAGATATAGTATTTCTGGGTTGTGTTTGGGGGTTGCAAGTTGTTTTTTATGTAATTATTTAACACAGATTTTTTTATTTTATTTTTATTGGAGTTTCATTTTTTTGACAAATATTATTTGGCACATAGTCTAAGGTACAATATTAGTATTTAAAAAATAATAAATAAATAAAAATGTAAAGTTAAGCAATGCTATAAGTAATATATATTTTATAAAGATAATGTTTTCTTAATGTTTAAAGAAGCATGGTACAAGATTCAATGTATAAAATTTACTGGATGTATTTACTTTAGATGAAAATAAAATTAAGCAATGAAAAATCTATGTACAAATGTGTAGTCAAGTTTTAAAATAATTCAGTGAATATCACATGGCATTCAAAAACTCACATTTTACACCAGATTTTAATCTTCTACATGCATCAATTAACAAACCACTGTTAATTGTATGCTAATTATTTAGTTAAAAATAATTTCATAACATAAAAAAAAATGTATTTAAAAACATTTATATTTTTGAGCAGGTTAAAGTTTAATTTACATAGTAGAGAAAATATATGTGAAAATATTCATGATAAACAATAAAGTCTTGAAACTTGAGATAATAACCATTAATCCAATCATTCTATTTTAGAAGATGAAATTTACACTCTTCTCATGTAATTCCTAATCCTTAATCCTTATGATAGTTTTATACATGTCTACTTATATTTTATAGAATACCAAATAACAACATGCTTATTTAATTCATTTACAATAATACTTACATTAATAGTGTAAAAAAAATAACATTATTTAAATATATAATTTAAAATTTTATTTGGTTGTTATTATTATTATTATAATTATTATTATATTTTTTATGTAGATGAATGAAATCCTAACCATGTAATAAAACAACATAATCTCTAGAGTTTAAGATGATTTTAACTTTATTTCTACATATATACTAAATAATATTATACCTTTATTATTTTTTATTGAAATTCATATTTAGTTTTATATTAATATAAAATAATAAAATAATTATTTTTATATAAATTTAAATTAGAGAATAAATTATTTTTATATAACTTTGTATGACTTAAAATTAATTTTAAAAATATTTAATTTTAGCTCTTAAATTTAAAAATATCAATTTAAAATGATAATCAAAAAATAATAATATACATGAAAATACTTGCAAAAAAAAACCAAACACATATTTTTATACTACAAAAATAAATTAATGATATATATTTCAGATAATAAAATTATAATAATTAAAAGATACAATAACACATTAAGTATTCAAAAATATTTTTATAAATGACTGAATATGATATGATAGAATTTAAATCTAGGAAATTTTAAGTAAATTAATTTTAGCATATAGGTATGTGTATATGTATGATATAACATAATCAATGAAGATTTTTTTCAAATATATTAGACGAATTCTATATAATTTTAATTTTTTAATTTTATATAATTTGTAAAACTTAATTTTTATATTAAATATATTTTTTAACTAAATTAATTATCTAAAATAAAAATATTCTTAATATCTATTATTAGATAAAATAAAATAAAATAAAAAATTACATTAGTTTTTAATTTATAAAACTTTTAAAAAAACCTTGTACTTATATATTTTTATTTTATTTTATTTTTTATAATTTATACATAATTTATAATAAGTATAAACTATAGTTACTTCAATTTTATAATCTAATAAATATGAATAAATTCAAAACTTGTAGAGAAATAAGTATAATAATTTTCTATTCTATTAATAATTTTTATATTTTTTTAATTGATTCATATACATAAAAATCTAAACTACTATTTAATTTATTATGATATTGCTTAATTGGCTTCATACTTTATTACCTAAATAAAAAAATCGTACTCTTAAATTTACTTCATAGAATTGAATTTTTTTTTATTAAAATTGAGCCAAAGAAGATTTCATGGTTTAAAGAGAAGTTAAGAAATTTTAACTTTTAGAACTTATAATTAGTTAAAATTTTAGAATCCTTTCTTAGTTAGATTTAAAATGAATCAAAATACCATAAAAAGAGAAAATAAAATATAATGTCTAATTTTCTTACATATGCAAATAGTTTTTTTTTTTGGAATTTATATTAGATCCATCTTAAGATGTGTTTTTCTTATAAAAATTAGAAAAATCGCATAAAAAAAATATTATGATATCCTTTAAATGATAAAAATAAAAAAATAAAAAAATACTACTTTTAAGAACTATCAAAAGAAAGAATTTTTTTATATATATTTTTAAAATAATATATTTTTTGATATTCTATATTATAGCTTCTTCTTATTTTATACTATCTCATTAGGTTGAAGTTTCTATGGAGGTCTTTATACAAAGTAGAAAAAGCAAGAAGCTACAACTTTTAAATCTTTTCATTGGTTACAATTAAGAAGCCTTACTTAGTTGGCTTTATACTTCAAAAAATTAGTCTAGAAACTTTAAGAGCAAAAGATGAGGTATAACTTATTTTCTTAAGAATTTCATAAATACTAAAATATAATATACAATAATTATCAAGCAAACTTGAAATAAAACTAGATATAAATTATTTTAAAAAGTTATTTAATTCTTCTATTTTGTGTGATAAGTACATGTTTAAAATTTGATGTTAAGATTTTTATTTCTAAATTTTTATGTAATTTGAAAACTAAAAATTAATTTTTAAAAATTAATTTTTTAAAATAAAATTCTATTTACATACTTTAATGATTCATCTTAAATACCAATTAAATATTTTTTAAAGTTATAGTAGTAAAATTAGTTTTTTTTAATTTTAAAATCAAAAAAGGAAAAAAAAAAGAGATTTTTTAAAATTAAAATAAAATATTATTATAAAATATTAAGAATAAAATTAATAAATTATTAAAAAAATAAAATTATAAGTACTACAAGTCCTCTTAATAATTTACACTATATACTAATCCAATCTTTTTGCCTAAAATTAGTTGTAAGATATTGTCATATAAATAATTTCATATTTCGAAATTATTGCCTAATTAATATAATTTTTAGATTTAATTTTTAAACATCTTATAATAAATACATGCTTATATATTATTTGATCAAAGCTTTTTTATTTTATGTATTTATAGTCATTTGATTTTAACATAACTAAATTTATTTCTGAAGGTGTATATTATAAAAATATTTTTTTTGGTGATTTTAGAATAAAAATGAAGAAAGAAAAAAAAAATTACATTATTTTTTTAAAAAAAATCAATTATTTCCTAGAAATATATAAAATGATTTGGTGTTGCATTTTGCCAAAAATATAATTTATTTTGACTTTATTTTAGCCTTACATGGTTAGACCATGATGGCCTTCACTTATGTTAAGCTTATTAGTACTTTATCAATAATTAAATAAAAATACTTATCTATACATAATTTTATGATTAAGAAATTGAATACATGAGGCATATTCAAATTATTTAAATTATAATATAAAATATTATTCTATCTAATTGATTATTTATCTTATGGTTATATTTATATGTTATGAACAATTCTATCTAATTTATAACATGCATTCTTTGAATGACTATTTTTCTTTCAAGATAAATTCAAAGAATTTCAATAATGTGTCTTTCTATTAGTTTGAGTTATTTCTATTCTAAGATTAAAATTAGAAAATACAATAAATTAGTCATTGACAGTTTTTATATTTTTTAGAATTTAAATAAAACGGATTTTTATAAAATAACTTATTAAGAAACCTTTATAATTATTTTAATTATAGTAACTTATCTTCATAAAATCAAAATAAAAATATGTCAAAATAAATAATATAGAGTAACACAATTGCATTTATCTTAGAACTAATATGGGATTAAGTTATTTCTCTCTCTTTATATATATATATATATATATATATATATATATATATATATATACACTAAACTTGAGTATTTTCTTTTAAAATTTACATATTAATGTTCTTATTATTTGATTTTATCTATTATTATATTATTTTTTTATTTTTTTCTAATTTTCTAAATTATAAGATAAATAGAAAGATAAGGCTTACTATTACAAGTAGCACTTTTAATATCTTGAATTAAAGAATCAAGATTTACAAAGCATATGTATTTTACATAAATTTTAAACTTAAATTTGATGGATATCAAGTAATAAATAAAAATTTAAAATCTAATTTATAACATGTATTTGTGCTAATAGCTAAAATCTTTTGTTTATATTAGATTATAGAAGAAATTAAACTTTATATATATAGAAAGTAATATAAATATTAAATAAATATTCAATATTTTAAATTAATTTTAAAATTATATACTTATAAATTATTACTTAAATTTCTA